GTTGACACGTGTTATATTAGTTTCAAGTATACGACAGTGATTGGGCAACTCCGTCCTTATGCTGTGCTCACAAGCGTATTCACACTGCCACCTGTCACCATACAACGCTGTTACACTGACAACGTTCCCTGGCCCTTCATCCCGTGACGTACTCACTCCATCGCTGGAAGCCCGTTCCTCCCACTCCCCGGCCCCCAGCTATGTTCCTTTTAGTCCTTAAACACAAAAACGTTCATTCACCTCCCTTCAGGTCTAGTTGATTTAACCGTGTCTAGAAATTGCAGATTTGTAGCCCTTACAGAATCGTTTTTCCCCTTAGAGCTCTAAAGTCTCTCGTGTCATTCCCAGACCTGGGTCTGTTCACAGACCTCAATGTCTGTGAGGGAACGGAGGCCAGAGGATGACGCGTTCGTCTTCACTTCCTCCCAAAGGGTTGTGCCCATTTACTCAAGGAAAACACGGGAAATTTCCAGGGATGTTTAGACACTGACTCGGCAGTTGTAATTCGCGAGGACACCGGGCACCGGCGGTCCAGCACAGGGCAGAGGCTTATAGAGCCCGGGGAGAGGCACACGCGGTCCACCTCACATTCAGGTGGATGGCTCCCGAACCCCGGGACTCTTCTCGCAGTGCCTGCGACTTTAGTTAGAAACACGTCCTCGCCCCGTGGCAAAGTGTCTACACTGACTCTATGACCGTGGAGTTGAAATTGTGGCTGCAAGAAGGGCAGACGGAGGCCTCTGGAACTCTTCCAGGGAAAACGGTAAATCTAAAGCCGCCCTGTGTCTTTGGGGAGATCGTCCATACTTGTTCAGGCCGCCAGGAGAGGCCGTGCGTGGGGGCCTCCAGGGCGAACTCCACCCTAGAACCAGAGCCATTCCTTGGGACTTCTCTGACCGTGACAGTGAACAGCGGTGGCCTCGCAAGCCCCCCGGCCCCTCAGGGCAGGGAGAGCAGGGAGCTGCAGTCACTCGGAAACTCTCTTGACACAGCCACTCGGACCTGCTTTTGTTACCTCTGTAGGTTCTCTTTTCCCTTAATAGAACGCCTCCTTCAAATGATGGCAAAAACCAACGGGAGTCATTTATTTTAGACATTTATTTCACAGACAAGTTTTCAAGAAGACAGCTAAGCGAACGCGGATACAGAACAACGAAGAGACGCACGCTGACAGGTGGAACGCCCTCGGCGGCCGAGCGAACAGCTGCACGGGCGGCCGGCACTCCTTGCTTTGGGGACTGCCCCCACTCGTCACAGCCCAGTCTGGCCCGGCCCGGCCGCCAGACCTCCCACACCGCTTCCGTCACCGCAGCCACCTGCCACTGGCTACCGAGGGGGGGAGCCGCGGGGGCTGCCTGCTGGTGGACACGAGTGACCTGGCCTTTCTCCGCACCGCGCGGGCTCCCGGCACCCCTCTTCCCAAAGCACGCAGCGGTTCCGTGTGGCCTGCACGTCGCACGCCGTGGTGGGCCAGGCTGGGCACCTGGCCTTATGACCTCTTCCTCATCTACACTGTGCCCCGTCATCTCACTAAACATTAGAGCCAGAGCAGTCTTGCAGATCAAGTTCAACGTGTCTCCAGATAAGGAACACGGGCCAGAGAGGCAGAGATGTGTCACATGACACTCAGTGATAGCGACAAGACTAAAACGTGTCCCTTTTGGTTTCTGGTCTAATGCTCAGTCGCCTGGGGCAGGTGGCCCTGAGGGGCTTAAGCGTATGTGTGAAGTTTCCTTCTTCAAAGAAGGTTTATGAATAAATTAGGGCATACGGGTAATAAAGTCACCGGTAGGAACTGGAGGTATTTGTGGGGATAACAAAGCAAGTGTAGGCAGGGAATACAAGCCAGTCTCCAAAGTGCCTTGGATAAGATGTCAGAGAATAAAATGTCTACTAATTCGAACTACTCTAAAAAAATAGGACTGGGCATAATTTTTAAAGAAACACAGTAGGGTCAAACAAATACGGGTTTTAGGTAATTGGCTGAGGTGGCCTGTATGTTTTGTTGAGCTTTCCAGCAGCCGGAACAGAGAGAGAAAAGGAAGAAGTTATAAAAATCACAGTGTTTGTAATTTTTTTTTTTTTCTGCTTAGGATCAGAGCTTTCCCTGGTACCGAGACCCAGAAAAAAACCTTTTCCTATGGATCTTCATAAAGGCAATGTAATGTGATATAAAAGACACATCACTACTCATTTTGACTTTCATGCTCCAGTTGGAAAAAGACAGAATGCAAGATGTCTTGGCCTAAGATGGTGGGTAGGACCTTCTATTTCCTCAGAACAGAGACAGAGTTCAGGAAGTCAGTTTAACCCATGTCCAAACAGCCCATTTACCATCAGGAATAAGGGTAGGGGAACCCCGGTTCCACCTCTGCGCGACCCCAGGCGTACGAGACTTCCACAGGACCGGCGTGTTCCGCTCGAGATGGAATGAATCCTGCACCCTTCCCGCCATCGCGCATGTCTGAGAGGCGCAGGTACAGACACAATTTGGGGCAATTCGGAAAAACTCTTTTGCAGGTGAAAGTGATTTTCTCACAGTAGAGTCACTGACCTTCGGCAAGTGACACGAAGGTAACCGGCACTAATGACCTTTTGCCGCGACACTTCCTCTGTCAGACTGCAGGTTCCTGGAGCATGGGCACCGTGTCTTCTTCCACTTTCGCATCCCCTCACTGTGCCTGGGAGACGGCCTTACACATAGCAGTACTTAATAAATACGTATGAATAAATCATCTACTTTCCTGAATCATGCTTCAATATAGTTATCAGTCCTGTGTACACATCGCTAAGTGGTGATTCCTATCAATGTGCATCTTCTCTAGCGCTGGGATTCCAGAGCATCTACACACTATCAGCACACGCCCACGGGCACGCACGCGTCTTACTGTGCTAGGCACACTACCGACAAGACACTGCACTCACCATTAAAAGTCTATAACTCGGACCACACGCAGGAAGTCAACCTACTGAGGTGTGAACAATCGTAACATCTCCAACCAATGTAAATCAGAAACATCTATCAATGCATACCTGAGTCACCTGCCTTCCGGCAGGCCACACCCTATTCTGGCACCACGAACTCGACGTCTTTCTACACCGCCCACCCTCCTTGGTATTCTGCTGAACAGGCTTGGAAAGATTCAAACGTCCTCAAAGGAAAAACATGATCTCCAGATGTCTCCAAGTAAGAGGATACCTGACACGGGAGAGGAGGTAAGATAAAAAGTATAATCTCTACACAGCCCTGACTCTGGCTGTCCTTCCACTAAAGTCGGGACTTCCCTTCCCTAAGCCAAAGCCGCCCCAGGTTGCCTGTGTACTAAGAGTATAAATGTCACTGCTCTCATCCTGGAGGAACCAGCCTTGGATGACCAGGTTCCCTGGTTTCACCTGTAACTTCCAGGAATGAATTAATTACCTCCCTTCCCACCCCCACCTCCCCATTTTGACTTTTCCTTCAATACCCGTTGGGCTAGTGTGAGGGGGTTATTGAAGAGATTTCTCAGACCAACAGGTAAACGAGGAAAACAACAGTGTTCTGGATTGGAGGTTTCTGCACATCTTTCCACTTTTCACTCAGTAACTATAGAGTATATAAATTACTCCGGGCTCTACAGTTAGGTTGACGACCCTAGGAACAGAGACTAGAAGCCTCAGAGACGGAGGGTGTATTTAACAAACAGCCTGGAGGTGGTGCTCTGAATGAGGTGGGGATCTGATCTACAGCAGGCCCAAGGGGTCTGACTGCTGTTAGAGAATGTTTCCAGTTTCTACCTCACTTCCTCCCTAACTTCTTAAAGTTTTAGAAAACTATTATTATGTAATGTCATACTAAGCCGTGGGTTGGGAGGCATAAAATGTGCCAACATGCCAGTCGCGTTCTAGGTAAGACCCAGAGCAGATGGAGGGCAGAACATGTCTGAATGAAGATTCTACTTTATGTTAATGCCACACACCACAGGCATGCATCCTGTTCAATCTGGAGAGGGCCCGGTAGTTCAGGAGAGTCAGATAAGAGCACCCGGAACAACTAAGAGGTAAGTGTGGGACTTACGAGAAACGGTAAAAGGAACCGGATAATTACGTAGAGGCTGGAGAAACCGCAGCCGGGGGCAGAGGGGTTCAGTCTTCAGGTGCAGAAAAGGTCAGCCTGGTGGGTGGTGGGTTGCTTCTCGTCTCCACGGAGGGTGAGGGGGCAGTAACGTGGTTTCAGTGGCAGAACCTCTACCGTCGCTCTGTGGGTCAACCGGCCACCAAAAGGGCACAATTGCAACAGACTTCTGAAGGGGGCTCAATCTCCTTAACGACTGCCTTCAAAACCAAGATGCATGCGATGTCATCCTGATCAGACTCCTGAAAGTTCTACCCCCAAAAGAAATCTGGGATCAAGTTGCATCCAGGATCCCACGCAGTGGACAATGGGAAACCTTCGGCAGGTCGGGTCTGCTCGAAAACAACTTTCACAGCGAGGAGGGACCTTGAATGTTGCTGGACTCGGCAGTCCCGCAGCAGAGGCCTTGACATGCCGAAGGGGCCGCCGTTCTGAACCCTGACAGACGTCCTCCCCACTTGGCCAAGGGAGACGTTGAGACGCACAGAAGGAGAGGAACGGATAGGTCAAGTCAGAGGCAGAGGTGAGGACGCGAGGCAGGCCCTTGGTTTATTTATATTGTCAAGCTGGCCTCGGGAATCACCCTCCCGAGCTAAGAAAAGATCGCTTCCGAGGATGAGATCGGGTGAAACGACTAAAGGGGCACGTTAGGAGGAGGAGACGTCAACGTCAAAACGTTTTCCTGAAGTCATCAGTCTTTCCCTTAGGCGGGCTCTCCAGGGCACAGGCGGGCGGTGGGTGTGGCAGAAGCTTCTCTCTGGAATGAACCTCCCGATGCTTGGCGAGGACAGAGCTCTTACTGAAACGTTTGCCACACTGGGCACAGCCGTAGGGCTTCTCTCCGGTGTGTATCCTCCGGTGCTCGCGAAACCTCGTACAGTTATTGAAGCTTTTTTCGCAGTCCACGCATTTGTAGGGGTTCTCGCCAGTGTGCACCCTGCGGTGGGCGCTGAAATGCGAGCTGTTGGTGAAGCTCTTCCCGCACTCCCCGCACTGATAAGGCTTCTCTCCCGTGTGCGTCCTCTGGTGGATGATGAGGCTGGAGCTCTGACTGAAGCGCTTTCCACACTCTCCGCACCTGTAGGGCTTCTCCCCCGTGTGGATTCTCTGGTGGGCACCAAAGTTGGAGGAGTCGTTAAAGCTTTTCCCACAGTCAAGACACTTGAACGGCTTTTCTCCCGTGTGGATTCTTTGGTGTCTGATTAGGCTCCTGCTCCTGCCGAAGCACTTCCCGCAGACACCGCACTGGTAAGGGTTTTCCTTCTGGTGGGTGACCCGGCACATCAGACGAGCATTCCTCCCCAAGCCGTCTCCGTATTTGAGAAGCCGGTAGGGCCTCCTCCCCACCAAAGGCCTCGGATGCGCTGCGGCTCTCCCTAAATCTCGAGGCTGAGACATCAGCTTTCCCTGCCTGACCGCTTGAAGGCTTTCCCACTGTCTTCCTGAGATGCATTCCCTTTTCCGGTATTTACCTGGATCAGCGTTCTGGGAAACAACCCTCTTAGACTTTTCTATCAGTGCCCGATGCTGTTCCATGTCCTTGTAGATTACCTGTGTTGCATCCTCCTTGATACTACGTGCAATTTCAAAATCTGGAAAGGAAGAAAGAAACGAAAGACGAGAAAGATTTCCGAGCGGTCCCATATTAACACAAACAACACAGCCTACGAGGCTTTGTTAGGATCCCTGTATTGTCCTCTGGCCTCTTAAGTCCTGTTACCCTTCTCTGATTCATTATGCCTTATTTGCACTCTGTTCCCCCCACAGCCAGCAACACCTCATACAAAGGAGGCTTCCAGAAATGTTTTCCAAAGCAAACTGTTATTCCCGATCCATGTCCTGAGTCACACGGGACCAGCTCAGCTTTCTCCCCAAGTTCCACTCCCTCCCACCCTACTTTCAAAATTTCACATCTGCGCTCACACACCCCGTGTGGCACTAGTGTTCAGAGCAGAGTCCAGTGCCCAGGTTCCTCAATGGGCCTCCAAGTTCATCGATATCTGATCACGTTTCTTTCTCCTCCCCAAATGGTCTTTGTCACTGCTTTTCTCTGGCTGTCTCGCACACGGGCCACACGGGCTCAAATCTTAATTCTCCCCATCCCCTTCCCCAAACTGGAATTACCTTCCCTCACGCTTTCACCCACGCCCCATACACACTGCAAGGTGCATCCTGGATGCCAGCTTTCCAGGAAGTCTGCTCGACAGACAGAGTGAGGTGGTGGAAAGACACAGGCTTTGGAATCACACAGCCCTGGTTCAGATTGCATCCTGGTCACTTATTAACTATGTGGTTCTGTATTAACTTTTTATTATGGAAAATTCAAACATGTAGCAAAGTAGAGACTACGGTATGTAACATGAACCTCCACAAACCACTCACCTGGCTTTGACAATGACCTACTTCTGGTCAATCTAATTTCACCTCCATTCCCACCTGCTTCCTGCTCCCTCTACCCATTATTATTAATATCATTATTATTATTATTATTATTATTATCATTATCATTATTATTATTTACTTTATTTTTTTTAAAGAGAGGGAGGGAAAGAGAGGGAGAGCATGTGCATGCACGAGCAGGGAAGAAGGGCAGAGGGAGAGAGAATCCCAAGCAGGCTCTGTGCTGTCAGTGCAGAGCCCAACGCAGGGCTCAATCCCACAACCCTGGGACCATGACCTGAGCTGAAATCAAGAGTCGGACACTCAGCTGATTGAGCCACCCTCGTGCCCCTACCCAGATTATTTTGAATCAAATTCCAGACATCATATTATTCCATCCAGGTTTGTCTTACCCCCAAACCCTTGTTCCTCAGCACTTTGCTGTGCTGCCTTGTTTCTACTTGCCAGTTTCAACACGCCTCTCCCTGCACACACCCCTCTCCTTGCACGCACCCCTCTCCTTTCAAGCACAGAGTTGAAACTGCAGATATCCCTCCCTCCCAAGTTTGGTGGCTGTGGCATGGGTTGGGGAGAGGAGGGCACCCATCAGTTGGTCCATTAAGGGAAAGCCCTAACCATGCCATCATCTTCTTTCATTTTGCAGTTCTTCTGAAGCAACCTCATTGGGTCCAACATCGTCCCGGGGTTTGGAGGAAGTCATAGCCTCACGGTTGGCTCTGACAGAATCTGACAATTCATGGACAGGTCTGTAGCTCGATTTAAAAAATGAGATTCATAAGGGATGGCACCAAAGGACTTTGCTTCCAGTAATCAAAACCGGGGTAATGTAGCGCTTACTGATTTCAGCCTTCAAACTACAATTTCCCACGTAAATACTAGCAGAAAACACATGTATGTTCCTTCTCTAGCGTTTGTTTTGAATAAGCACAGAGTGCTGGAAGGAAGATGGTAACAGGTAAGCGCAGAAAGAGGAGCTCAGACTGAGGAGGGCTGTGGAACTTAACACAAGACTGATGGGGGAACCTGGTTTGGAGACTTTTACAAAAGTCTAGGCCACAGACAGAAAAAGGCTGAACCAGGGCAGTGGCTGTGCTGACTAAAGAGGGGACAGAAGTTCCAGAACCGTTGACAAAAAAGTGTTATCTGCTTCGATGTATATGAGGGAGAAAGCATCAGAAACGTCTCTAATGTGTTCAGGCTGGATGTGAGAGGACACAGGAAAGACCCAAGGTGTGGGAAGAAAGACGGTGACTTAGTTTTGAAAATTTTAGGTCTGGGCCGCTGCAGAGGTAGACGCCCACGAGGGTACCAGCAGTCAGCAGGGAAACACGCAGGTGGGGCTGCGGGGCTGAGAACCAGAACAGAGTCTCTCTCTCGTTTTGTCGCTGCCTAGACTCTTCCTCACGCACATCACAGAGAACTGAGATGTCTGTGTTTTCAGCCTACTTGCTCTGAGTTTTTTCTCCACATATGTCATGTGTAATTCCAAGTTCTTCTTCCGCACAGGATTTTCAGAAGAGATGAAACATGGGCCCGTACAGACCAACACTGAGGCTGAGATCCCACAGACTGAATCCCTAGAATGTAAGCTCCTTCCCTGAATAGAAGCGCCGTGAGAAAAGAGACTGTGTTTTATTCGCTGCTATATCCCCTGTTCCTCATGTAACACAGGGCACTCAAATATTTGTGGAATGAATAAATACTCACAAGCAAAATGCCAGAGCTACTGATTTCTCAGTAAATCCCACTTTCCCCTGATGGTCCTTACCGCTCGGGCTTTGCAGTAGACCCGGGGGCCCCTGGAATTCCGACTCGTGTACGATTTCCTCCTCACTCGTTCTCTCGCTGCCAGAATCTTCTCCCGTTGCCTCCTGTGAGGTCTCCTCAGGTTCCCAACCTGTGGGTTCCTGGGACTCCATCTCAACCTCCTCTCTCTCTTGCCCTGAGGGTGATGGGACTTCCTCTGGAGTGTCGGCGGAAGGGGCAGCGGCCCGAGAGTTGATCAGCGCGTCCATCTCCTTGTAGAACGCACAGGACTCCAGCACGTGACCGTTTTTCACTTTGCGGTAGCTCTTCTGGAGGCTTTTGAACTTGGTCCGGCACTGCTCTGGCGTCCGGAGGAAGCCGCACTCCCGGAGTTGTTCAGCCACGGCCCCGTACAGCTTGCTCTTCCGATGACAGGCTTGGAGGGCTTCGTAGAACCGAGTCTCCCGCAGGATATCAAGAAAAGTCTTGGTTTCCTCGTAGCCCCAGTGCACACCTGCCAGGGAAGGATAAAGTTCAAAGATGTAAGAAAAAGAGTCTATAGCCTCTAAATATAAGGAGTAAAGGAAAGCAAATCCCATTCACTGTGGCAATAGGAACTATGATAAACCTGGGAATAAGATGTGCAAAATAAAGAAGAGGGTCTATATAAAAGAAAAAATCGGTAATTTACTGAAAGACATAAATGAACTATAAAAAATGGAAAGACACTCCGTTTTCTGGATAGGAAGACTCAAACTGTACAGACATCAATTCCCAAATGAATCTGTAAGGTCTAAATCCCAATGGGATTTCGAAATTGAAGTTGATAAACTGATCTCAAAATTTCCTTGGCAGAGGAAGAACGCAGTCCCCCAAATCTGCCATGGCTATGGCGGTCAACTGAGGATACAGCTATCTTCTCTAAATGGCTAAGAATAACAGATCAGGACACGTTTTTAGCCAGCCATCCTTGAAGAGTACAACCGTGTCCAGAGTAGTCTTTGATGTCCCTGAGTCCTCTACTTGGAGAGAGGAAATGATCTGCAAGATAGGCAGACACTGTGCTGTTACAGCAGAGTAAACCTTTTCAGGACGTGTCTGAATACAGTTTGTTAAACTGCTTTCTGGGGCGCCTGGGTGGCGCAGTCGGTTAAGCGTCCGACTTCAGCCAGGTCACGATCTCGCGGTCCGTGAGTTCGAGCCCCGCGTCGGGCTCTGGGCTGATGGCTCAGAGCCTGGAGCCTGTTTCTGATTCTGTGTCTCCCTCTCTCTCTGCCCCTCCCCCGTTCATGCTCTGTCTCTCTCTGTCCCAAAAATAAATAAAACGTTGAAAAAAAAAAAATTTAAACTGCTTTCTGTGCGTTTTGTAAGATGAAGTCACTTCTGTCCTCAGTCTCACCAGGTGGCCTCCTCCAGGGCGGGCACTGCTTTCCCGAGTCTGGGCCCGCCCTGGTGTCTATGGATTTCCAGATTGCTGAGCACCTCTATGTGTACGATGTATCTTCCCGTCTTTTCCTGAGCTGTCTCCCTTGAACAGATGCGGTCATGAGGACACCCCCCCGCTCTCCTTCCTGGATTCATCTTTCCACCCTAAGAATTCACCATCTTTTCGTCAGGCGGAGTGGAGAAACTTTCCTGGTAACAGTGACACCGGGCAACGCCTCCCCGCAGTTAACATTTGCGGAATGCCGTCATCGATTTTTTTTATCTATTATCTCATTTCACACTAACAACCCTGGAATCCTCAGTTGCAGTTTACTGATGAGAAAACTGAAGCTCCAAGTTCTTACATGATGTGCTTACTGTCACACAGTCACTAACTGCCACTTTAGTTCTGCATGTTCCCAGTCCCCAGATTTCAACGCCAGCCTCCGTTTACATGGTATGTGGTGTATCTTTTTCTACCTTTTAATTTCAAGGCCTCTGGTCTTCACATGTATCCCTTGTAGGCTATATTTAATTGCCTTTTTAGACAACTGATCATCTTAGTCTTTTACGTTTGTAACGAATGACGTATTTGGATTTATATTTACCATTTTCCTGTGTTTTCCATTTGACTCGTCTACTTCGTGTTCCTTTTTCTTTCCTTTCCTGCCTTTTTCTACAATTTCACTTTTCACGTTTTTTCGGTTATACATTCTTATGCTACTTATCCTAGACAGTGCAACACCGTATCTTTGACTTATTATACTGCAATTCTGCTAGCTGCTTTATACGAGGCTCAGATGCTGGATTCCTCACAGTCTTTGGACTCCACCTATCTTCCTCCCACAGGCTCCAAATACGCAAATCCATGCTGTGCTCTAGCCCGAGAACGGCCCTTTGCAGCAACAACCTCCCCTCCCCCCCCCCCCCCCCCCCCCCCCCCGCAGAGTACTTTCAGCAATGGGGGGCAAGAGGCGCAGGCCAGCGCTCCCCAGGTTTGGCTGCCTCTGGTCTACTCCTGCTACCACAAACCCGTATCATCCATTTTCACACCCAAAGCAAAGAGCACAGTCCTTACCGCTCAGGTTCTGGAACAAGACAGGGGTGCCACGAATCTCAGACTTCCGGATGAACGCAACACCCCTCTCGTCACCATCGGATGCCTCTGCGGCTTCCTCCTCCTCCAACAAACTGGTCTGTTCTTTAGCATTGACATCAACTCTCTTCAGTCTGGGGAGAGAGATAATCTCCTTTGGCTTATCAGCGGCTGAAGCATGGGCTGCGGGGTTCAACAGGGCGTCCATGTCCTCAAAGAAGGCACAGGGTTCCAGCACGTGGCCGTTTCTCACCTTCCGGTAGCTCTTCTGGAGACTTTTGAACTTGGTCCGGCACTGCTCCGGCGTCCGGAGGAAGCCGCACTCGCGCAGCCACTCGGCCACGGCCCCGTACACCTGGCTGTTCCGGGGACAAGCCTGCAGCGTTTCATAAAAGCGAGACTCCTTGAGAATCGCGAGGAACGTCTTCGTCTCCTCATAGCTCCAGTGCACGCCTGCTATTTTCTCGTCTTCCAACCCCCAGTGCTGCTGCTCGCCCCACACTCGCCCCGCACTGCGCGCGGGGATCTGAGTCGCATGAACCGGCTTTTCCTTGATGTAGTTGCTTCGGAGAATACTCCTTTTGTTAGAAGAGTGTACACCTGGGGTCCATGGCTCCTTTCTTTGCTCCAACCGGGCAATCTTGTTAGACACGGACACGGCACTTCCTACAGGGACAGAAATACATTCCATGCTGAACACGGAGGCCGTAGCCGCACAGCCTGATCTGCTGCCATAGCGCGATGTCCGGGACACCTGTTCACGCCTATCCTTGAAAGGTCTTGTCCAACCCCCTTCTCTTTTAGAAACTTCCTCAACCATGACAGTGTGCAGTACAGATATTCCTCCTACTTATGGTGCAGTATATAGTTATTCTGACCCCTCTCTTTGTCACAACCATCTAGTAACTGACATTATCATTTTATTTCTCACGTAGGCACCACCTCTTTCCCCAGCTAGTTCTTAAGGGAAAGTCTTTAAGGTTAAGAAACATACAGTTTATTACCTTTGATTTCGTCTCAGTGTCTAACGTTGTATTAGTTTCAGTGTCTGCTCCTAACCAGTATTTGTTACTTATAAAACAAAGCGTGTTCATATCTGCCCACCACATACCCCCACCCCAACCCGCACGTGCACGCATGCACGCCTGCGCGCGCGTGCGCACACACACACACACACACACACACACACACACACACTGGGGCTAGGACAGGCGAGAAGGCAAGAATTTGTGGATACATCTGACAAGGTTAATAGGAAGAGACAGAAGGCCAGGGAAGCATACCGACAATCTGTTGCATTACAGCACTATGGAGATCATCGGGTAATGGGTCTTAAACGTGAACCCTGGCTCCATCACCTGCTTTACTCTTGGGCCAGGGGAACTTTCTCAATCTCTGAGCTTCAGCTTCCTAGGGAATGATGGCCTCTATTCACAGAAGTGCTGGGAATATTAAATAGATGATCGCCTGTGAAGTATCCGATGCCCAATAGGTATCGTAACAAAATTCACTTTTCTTCCTCTAGGTAATACACACAGAAACTCCACGGAATTCTCAAGGGAAGGAGCATCACAGCAAATCCTTTCTGAAAGAACCCTGGGAATGGAGTTCTTTATTTTTACTTGATATAGGAAGTGTAGGAATAACGAAAGCTCAAATATCCACAGTAAGGACCAGGCAGGAATGCAACTGAGGGAGAAATGTGGCAGTTCAGCACCAGCTCCTTGATTCAGCTCTGGCGGATTGTTGCTATGTGAGAAGGTGGGCCCGTGGTGCCTGACATTTGATTTTTCAAGATACACAGGAAATCCAGATTTACAAACTAATTTTAAATTAAAACTCTGTGCAAGGCCAAAATGTGTGTATAGGCTAGATTCGGCCTATGAGTCATCCGTTTACAGTCTATGATAAAAGATTCGGGAAGCTGTCTCCGGGCCTGGGCCTTTCCACATGTAATCACCACTGACCCTGAACAAAGTGGGGGCTGGGGGAACCAACGCCCCATAGTAAAAAAATTTGTGTATAACTTCTGACTCCCCCAAAACTTAACTACTAATAGCTTAGTGTTGACTGGAAGCCTTACCGATATCATAAATAGCCTATTAATATGTATTCTGTATGTTATATAGATTACATACTGTATTCCCATAATGAAGTAAGTCAGAGAAAAGAAAAGGTTATTAAGAAAATCTTAAGGAAGGGAAAATACATTAACTAAGTTAACTGTGAGTACTTTGGATAGATACTGGACTGTATTTATCGAAAAAAAATCCCCATAGAAGTGGACCCATGGAGTTCAAACTATCTTGTTCAAGGATCAGCTGGCTAAATCTGAATTCTCAGAGGATGACCCCCAGCCCGCCAGTGGCACTTTACTCAGGGCTCTCACACGGCACCCTCCAAGGCTTGGATGCACGCTCCAAGGTCACGCCAAGAAAGGCCTGCGTGAAGCCCTGGCAGGACGCTGGGTGCCTGCTGCTACGGGAAGACTGCTTTGCCACCAGGGTGTGGCAACCTATGTTGGTCATTCTCAGAGGACTTAGTTGCGTTCTGATTATAAACAACTGTTGGTGTTATCTTTTTTATTCGGTTTGATATAGTCCATTTTATAGTCTCTATACTTAAGTGTCTACAGGTAGTGTGTCCAACAGAACTTTCTGTGATGACAGCAGTGACCTCTAATTGTGCTTTCCAACATGGCTATCAAATATCCTAACCGCGACTACTGCCCCTGAGGAACTAAAACTTTTAACTTTATTTAATTTTAATTAATTGTACAAATTTAAATAGCCGGTACCCTATTAACACATATCTATAACGTGTCTAGTGTGGATCAGTGCACATTTCGGGCCTGTAATTTTATTAACAAGCAGTCTTCGACTTTCAGCTTACATATAAATGAACTGTACTTGTCCCCACTACTAATGCAGGTGACATAATCCTTCAGAAGTCTGCTTGTAAAGGGACACTTCAGTGGTTACTTGTGCCTGTAAATTCGTGCTATTCAAATAACTCACAATGCACTATCAAGGTATTGAAATTGTATTGTGTTGAATTGTACTGAAATTACTTTTTTCCTTTCCTCTGTAAGATTTCCATCCATCCAACAAATATTTGCTGGGTACCCACCCGTGTGTCCAGCTATGTGCAAAGTGTTGGGTTGCTACAGTTAAACAAAAACAAATCTTACAAAGACCTTGTGACTTTATGGTACTATTAGTCTAGTGGTATCTGTAAGCTTATATTTAAGTAATACAAATATGACAGTCCTATATAGCCCCTTGCCAATGTCTTCACCCCTAAGTTAGAAGAATATGCATATATTCTAAACTGGAAGGGAGGAATGAATGACTGAGTTAAGACAGCATGGACAAGAGAGGACTAGGTCTGGTAAACCAGGCCACAGAAATGATTAGACAGCATGGAGGTCCTTTAAGTGTTGACATTTTAATTATTGTATTATTGGTAGAAATAAAGATATAAAAAATCCCCAAATCTTTTATGTGCAAAGGGAAAGAATCCTTACCCAGGGAGACCATATTCCCAGCACTCTCTTTCCTAATATCCCGGTACAGGTCTCTGTGAACGGGAATCTGATGTACGCTCTTTTTGTAGGAAAAGCCTCTCGCCACGCGGACATCTTTCACCGGCCCCTGTAACAACAACAGCAATGACTACCGAGATAACCACGTGGGTCTTTAAAGGGTGAATGGTCGTGGAGGAAACACAGAAGGGAGGGCGTTAAGGGAGAATTAAAATCAGGGAACCAAGTGTGTATGATGTGCCAGATGAAGCAGATGTTATAAAGGATCATAAGACAGATGATCCAGCAAGGAGTCTCATTACTCAGAAGGCTGGGTCCGGTCTTCTCTGCAAAAGGGGCAGGGGGTAGGGGGTGGGGAGGGGAGTCTCTTTGAGGGGGTGTAGAAGTTTGAGGGCAGTGAAGGCACGGAAGTCCTTGTGACTGGATACTCTAGGAACGCAGAGAGAAGATCTACAATTTACCTGAGACACAACAGGTAATGGTGTGGTTGTTCCTTCCTGACCTATGTTGTTCCATTCAGTAGCAGGAACAGGAAGCCAGGGAGAAGGCCGAGCTGTAAGAAGAGAGAGAAACAATTAGGGTTCTGGGCTCTGGCCCTTCAATTCGTGCAGCTTCTCCTTTTAAGAAATGAACGTGTGTGTGTGTATACATACATATATATACGTATATATACACACACACACACATATATATACACACGTATACGTATATATATATATGTATGTATACACACACGCACACATATATAAAATAAAAAAAAACCCAGTAAATAGAAATTGATCATTTCATCAGTGAGTTCAGAACAAATGCCCGAAACCAGGGTACCCTAAAGCAGGGCTCACAGATGCGAACGCTTTCAGGGAGTTAGCAGGCAAAGTAGATTATGAAAGGGGCCAGGTAAGGAATGGGGGACCTGGAGAGCACGTACACCACTGAAAAGGTGTGGCCAATGCCCAGTCCCAGTTGATGCTTCACTGTGATAGTCAGAACTTCTAATATTTTTCAGGAGAAGCCAGAAATCTGGACTTTTCTATGAAATCTCAAAAACCTTAAACCTGGGAGGCTCAATTGGTTAAGCGTCCAACTTCAGCTCAGGTCACGATCTCATGGTTTGTGAGTCTGAGCCCTGCTTCGGATCCTCTGTCTCCCTCTCCCTCTCTCTCCCTCCCTGGCTTGCACACATGGGTGCATGCGTACTCTCTCTGTCTCTCAAAAGTAAATAAATATTTTTAAAAAATCTTAGGGGCACCTGGGTGGCTTGGTTGGTTAAGCGTCCGACTTCGGCTCAGGTCATGATCTCACGGTCCGTGAGTTCGAGCCCCATGTTGGGCTCTGTGCTGACAGCTCAGAGCCTGGAGCCTGTTTCCGATTCTGTGTCTCCCTCTCTCTCTGCCCCTCCCCTGTTCATGCTCTGTCTCTGTCTCAAAAATAAATAAACGTTAAAAAAAAAATTAAAAAAAAAAATCTTAAACCTTAGAACTAAAAGCAAACAAATGCATAAAACTCCAAACCAAAAACACATTGCAGGTGAAACAAAAGAAGTCTGACCTGGCATGTGAGTTACCAGTTCGCAATCTCTAGTATAAGTCATTCAATGTTTCAATATGCTAAACAAGTTAGCACACATAGATAACAGTCCTGGACAGGCAAACACACAATACACTCCCTCAAAAGTCTGTGGTCTAACTTCTACTCTGCAACTCACTACGTAGGGAAAACTTCCGGAATGGATTTTACTGTGGTTGAGAACTCAAAATCTTGTTCCACCACTTTCTAAAGAAGCAAACTGAACCACTTCTTTGGAAACACAGTACAGGTATCCCTTGCTTTTCAAAAGTTCATGTCATGCCACTTTACTTTTACAAAAGACACACATCAGTACCTATTTTTGTTAACCGGAAGAAATCCAAAAAAGGATCTTCACTTTTACCAAAAAAGGGGGAAAAGCAAAGATATTGTTCGGAGTTTGTCTTGCAGCGAGCTATTAAAAAAAATTTTTTTTTTAAGTTTACTTATTTATTTAGAGAGAGACTGAGCAGCGGAGGGGCAGAGAGAGAGGGAGACAGAGACCCCCAAGCAGGCTCTGCACTGTCAACGCAGAGCCTGATGCAGGGCTCAAACTCACGAACCGTGAGATCATGACCTGAGTGGAAACCAAGAGTCTGACTCCTGACTAACTGAGCCACCCAGGTGCCCCTGCAGCGAGCTATTACAGAGGCAGTGTGCACCCGAGCAGGGGGAGTAGCACGACCACAGTGTCACTGTCCCCGTAAGCACCTCGACAGAACCCAGAACACACTTTTCCACTTTGCGAATTATCACCCTGAGCTGTCAAAACCCAGAAACACCATAAATTTACTGTAGTTTATCAGCTACAGTAGTAACTCAGAACACGTAATCCATGTGAACTTTGAAATTCAGAAAATATTAATATTTGCAATGAATTCTATCACAATGTGAATTTCAGGAAAGGTAAGGAGGTTGGGTGCACAGTAGTGAATCTTGCCACTTGGTGAGGGACTGTGTAAGCCAGACAGATTTGAAGTTTAAAGATAATTGCGCTGTTACGGGAGAAAGGAAACTGACATTTACTGAGCACCACTGTGTACTGGTCTGTTTACGTTGCCTCGTTTAACCTACACTAACCACCTTATTATTTTCCTTTTACAAATGACAGAATGGAAAGTTTGAGAAGCTTAGTAACCTGACCAAGGCCACACAGATAAAGAATGGCAGAGCTAGGTTTTGAGTCGGGTTGTCTTCCTCTAAAGCCTAATCGCTTCACCTCTATGCATTAATGTGCCCTTCCGTATTGCTTGCCCGAGGACAGATGGAGACAGGTGCAGAGACAAGAAGATATAAACCCAAGCCTCCTACTGTAGGTTCAGTGATCTTTCCATTCCTCTCTTTCGGCCTGATACCAGACTACAGGGATGGTGAGATTACAGTGGACGGGGAAAGACAGGGTGTTTAATTTCCTTCTACTTGACTTATTAATGCCCAGGGTGGCTATGAAACCTGTGTTCCCTGGTCTATGAAATCTTACTGTTTACCTCTCTCATATGCCACTTGTGGGATGCCTCACTTGTAATTAAAAAAAAAATTATGTTTATTTATTTTTGAGAGCAAGAGAGACAGAATGTGAGCAGGGGAGAGGCAGAGAGAGAGGGAGACACAGAATCCGAAGTAGGCTCCAGGCTCCGAGCTGTCAGAGCAGAGCCCAATGCGGGGCTTGAACCCACGGACTGTGATATCATGACCTGAGCTGAAGTCAGACGCTTGCTTAACCGACTGAGCCACCCAAGTGCCCCTGGAATTTTTAAAAAGTAAATATCTTGTTTCCCTTTCCAAACAGTTTTGAAAGTTGTTTATAGCCAGCCAAGAACATATACACATATGCACACAGCAGGACTGAAAAACACAAGCTGATTACAGAAAGGAGATTCTTAAGTTACACTGCAAGACCTCGAGGCCAGTCTGGGAAAGCCAAGTTTTCCCAGAGTCCATCCCTATGAGGGCTTTTACTTATGCTGCATGTGTTCCCAACTCCTGAAGCTGATGAAGTGTTGCTCCCCAAATATTTAATTTATTCTCAAATATGTACTGAGGGGATCCTAGTCTGAACCAGTCACAGTGTTATGGCTAGAAAATAAATCTGCCATGGTCTCTGCTCTGGGCATGCTCTGAGTCCTTCTCACCATTCTTGGGTAAGGGCCGATGCTCTCTCTTCCAGTTCGGCGGCTCCTCCCGTCCTGAGCGGAGGCCTCCAGCTTCCTCCAGAGACACCAGTCTGGGTTGGGTCTCCACCTGCTCTGGCTGAAAGTCCGTTACCTCCCATGCTGCTCCCAGTGGTATCTGCTTCTCTGCGTGCACAGGACTGCGAACCTGGGAAATAAAACCAATGGCATAATGGAAAGAGGGAGGAAAGCAAGGCCCAAAGAGGACCAAATTTCCCCCAGGAAGACATCAAAGAAGGAAAGACGATGTGAGAAGGAACGAAAACTTCACTCCGTTCACAATGGAGCCTCCAAGGGCATTGGGTGAACAGTACTGTCCAGGAGTCTAGGCGAAAGGGAGCAGGAGAGTGCTCTTTATTAGTATACAGGGGGGGAAGTCTAGCAGGAGTAAAATATAGAGCCTCCTTGTTATTAGCATAGATATAGAGTTCTCACATCTATTAGGTTCACAGAGAAGCGAAAGCTATCAGAACAGAAATAAATTCACTAGTGAACTGAAAACAGAAAATTAATTTCCACATGTAGGGTCTATGCCTGACCAACACAGCAGCCTGATAGGCAGGTCTTTTTATACAATGCAAATCCCGTGCAAGGTGAAACTGCAAGTCTTGCAAATCTTGCAGGATTTCATGAGGTTAATGAAAAGGCTCTTGAAAATGACTAGAAGACCATGAAATGCCACCGACAAACAAAGATCTGGCAGTTAAGCTAGACAAGAGTGACAAGGATGGTGGCATTGAGGGCACTTTGGAAAACACACATTGAAATATTAAAGGACTAGAGAGAGCCCTGGGATAACTGATGAAGTCCGTCCTTTCTTTTTTCCTTTCATTTTTTTCTCTTTCTTTCTTTGGTTGTTGTTGTTGTTGCAAAAATAGCCCTCTTTAGGATCAAACTACCAAAGTCCAACCCTGCAAAGCATAACGTGGTGTTCCCTTATATAATTTTTTTTTGGGAACGATAATGCCAGAGATTTATACAAACACTTAGATGTATAATGTTTAGCTTCCTTTGCAAAATAATATTTTACCAAGGGTTTTTTTTTTTTTTT